GTAATTTTACCAAAAAAAAAAAAAAAAAGAACCATTGTGGGCCATATGTGTTGTCATTTAAGTTTGTTACTTGTATTTTTGTGTCACAACTCAAACATTTATCTTGTGCCATATATCAAACAATATCACGGGAACAGAAAATCATTTTTGCAATTCATTATGGGATATATTGCTTTTCCAGTGAACCGACTGTACTTTTCAATTTGCATTGTTGGATTGAGGGCACTATATAGGTGATAACCTATTGTGCCGACACATTTGAACAGCACTACAAAATGACAACTCACGAAATTGTGCACCAGATCATGGACATTGACCGATTCCAAACACAGCTGGTGACTTTTTTGGAAAACACTGCGTTTAAAGTAAGTATATAAATTTCCAACCTGTGCTGCTTCTCTCTCCTGAAGCTGCTCCACTATTTCTGCCATGGTGGCTCTCCTCTCTCTGCGGGGAAAAAAAAAAAAAGCACACAAAGCAAGATGGCTGCTTTTGTTTTGGAGTAATCAATATAATTATGAGTCAAAAACAAAACTCCACAGAACATTTCTGTTGGCTATAAGCACAATTGTGTGTATAGTATGTAATAAAACGATAAGGTACACACATACATTGATTTGGCTTTAGTAATAACGGCTCTCTGAGGGAACCCTCACAACCGAAAATGAGTTGGACACCCCTGGAAATGGACAGCTTGGTGGTGGAAAAGTGACTGAAGAGAAGCATCATTGTCTTCAAAACAAACATCTCACCCTCCTCCTGAGCGTCTGTCAGACTGTTCCTTGCCAGTGTCGTGCTCGCTGGATTCCTGCCTCTCCAGCCGGTGCCGGTCTCGCTCCCTTCTCCGGCCCTCGTGGCTTCCGTGTCCTTCCTGTTCGCTGGATGTCTGCCTCTCCAGGGTCCGCCGCTCCCGCCGCTCGGTGTGTTCCCTCCACACCTCCTGAGGAAGCTCGTTCTTGCGGGCCTGAATCAGCTGCTCGGGAGACATCTGACACTCCAGCTGGACAGTCTGAGTATGGACCTGCGGCTCAGGGTTAGTCCTGAAGGTCTTTGGCCCTCCATAGAGCCGGTCACGGTTAGGCTCCTGGAGGACCACCTCGGCCATCACGGCGACTTCGGCTCTCTCTGTTATCATCTCCCTGCCTTTCTCCCGAACCTTCTCCAGCCGGCTGGCAACAAGGAGGGGTGTCACAGCGTCGTCCAGGTGTTTGATTTTGGGTTGGCGGAGGTACGGCGAGGGCTTGGCGTCCACTTCCAGCTGAAGAAAGGTTATCAGAATTAATCAAATCATCAAAACCAACAAAACCATTGAAAAAACATTTTTGTAAACTAAAAGAGTAAAAAAACAGTAAGTCAGAGTATATACAGTCATGCTCCAATATATACCTGTGTGTGTGTGTGTGTGTGTGTGTGTGTGTGTGTGTGTGTGTGTGTGTGTGTGTGTGTGTATATATATATATATATATATTTTTTTTTAATGGTAGGATGACATCCATTTATTAGTCTGTCCATCCATCGAATGTCAAACTAAAATAAAAGATAAAGGTATTGCATTCAGGGACAGTCTCAACTGAGTTTTCCAACTATATGAACTCTTCTGGAAAGCGCCTTGTTGTGAAAGTCATGAAAGCTTAGAAAAAAATAGCAAAGCCACTCTAAAAAGACATGAAAAGTAAATGAATCTAATAAACAAAAAGTCAAAAGGAAATAAAAAGTAACTTCGATCCTCAGTGGGATAGGGTCTTCATGAAAAATCCCCAAGTATTCTCACCTTGGCTTGAAGGTGACCCGCCTTCCTGCTGCTTTCTCGTGCCTGATTGGCCGAGACCAACATGGCGGCCGTGGCCACGGACAAGATGGACGAATGGGCGGGATGGACGGGATATCGGACTCTCGAGGGGGATGACGTCGGTGTAGCGGGCGAGGGGGAGGGCGGTGTGCTGGCCTCGTTCTGCTCATAGATGGTCTGTCTCATGACAGGGGAGAGGGGCAGGCGGGGGGGGCTGGGAGGGGGAGCTGGGGGTGCATCCTGGGGGGCCAGGAAGACTTTACGGCCCAGCAGAGGCGTTGCCGGTTGTTTGCTTTGCTCGGCTTTCAGCTTCTCCACCTGGACAAATAACACAAACAACTACTCATCTACTCGGAACACAACAGCAGGTCTTGAAACCCTAACTTGAGTCTGCTCATCCTTAAAACACAATCCAAGTCTTGAAACCGTACTTTAAAACCAAAACACTTACCCTTGTTTGAAACTTGACACCACAATTTGAAACACTAATTTTTGAGACTCATGTTTGAGACCCTAATGAAAATTACTTTGAAATCCTAACACTGCCTTAAAATCCTCAATTGAAAACAAAATCCTGCTTTGGAACTTACTCTGACTTTACAACCTACTTTTATACCTTAGCCCTAATTTGAAATCCTAATCCTAACCCAAATATGAAATCTTGACTTTGACTTGAAAACCTAACCCTTGTTTGAAACCTTAACCTAAACTTGAAAACCTGATTTGAAACAGTAACCCAGTCTTGAAATCCTATTCGGTATTAAACCCCAACCCTGCCATGTCGCCTCAATGTGAAACCCTAATTTGAAAACCAATTGTGAAATCGTAATATGAAACCCTAACCCTGATTTGAAACCTGAAATGTAACTTTCAACCTCAAAACCTGCTTGAAAACCAACACTACTCCAGGCTTGAAACATAACATTGAAACATGTGTCAGGAATTGGTGGACTGCATGAGACAGTCGACACAGATGCGAAATGGCGCCTTGAATTTAGAAACATTCGGAATAGGTCTAGATGAAGAACAAGCAGAACCGTACCGTGGTAAGCCGTCTAAGTGAGCTGAATCGTTCCTCCCAAGTGGCGGCGGCTTTGCGGAAGGCTTCGTGTCGACGTATGAGCTGCTCCACCTCATCCACGCTGCCTCCCAGCTCCCTGCTGCTGACCAGGGGCTCCTGCGCCGTCAGCCACGCCTCCGCCACCACCGCCTCCTGAGCAAACTGGTGAACCTCCAGCACTGCACGGGCAACATTTAGACACCATTGTACTCTATATACAGTGTTAAGTGTAAAATGTAAGCAACAGACTCGTCGGTGTCATATTGTGATTTTGGAATCGCCTTTTAGCATTGATTTTATATCCTTGTTATCTGGGTTAAGGGCCATGTACTAATACGGTCTTTTTCTTCACTCGTATGACAATTCAGTGCACTGCTTGAGAGGCCAGAGCGGGGCTCGGCAACCCGCGGCTCAGGAGCCGCATGTGGCTCTTTAGCGCCACCGTAGTGGCTCCCTGGAGTTTTTTCAAAAATGTTTGAAAATTGAAAACGATGGGGGAGGGAAATATATTTTTTGTTGAAACTGTAAAATGAATATCGTTGCTCTAGCCGCTAGAGTAACGATATTCATTTTACAGTTTCGACCCATCCAAACAAGAATGGGAAGGCAGATGGGTCGCCAGGCAGGTCCCCAACTTATCTCACGATAATATACAAACTACAAGTTACTTGTACTGTCAGACCAAAATGTCACAAGCTGACATATGTGTTATCAATACTACTGATGACATTACACAAATTCGACTAGCTAACATGTAGATCTTAACTAGTCATACTTTTAGTGCGCAGATGTCAACTACTGCACATTTTGGCTCACTAGTAACATGTTGTTGTTCTATTAGGATGCCAATGTTGTTCTACTTGTGTGCAAAAATTGATGCAGTAGAGTAAAACGTTATTTGTAAGACAACACAGTTACTCTACGAGTGCCGTGAACTGTGTTATTACTGAGGACAAAGCGCATACTAGTACACGGACCTTTAGCTCAATACAAGGGATATTGAATAAGTGTTCAATCGGCTTTCTGTAATATACTGTTCTTGTGCATGTATGTGCACGTACGTTGCTGGAGGGCCTCCCAGTGCTTGTCCCACTTCACAGACAGCTCGTGTTGCTTAGCGACAACCTGGTCCAGCTTCTCCTTGATCTGCACTCAAAAAATGTCAAACGTTCTCATCTTTATCATAATCATCATTATGTGTCTTGATGCAATAAAAATTGGGAAACACTGTTGCAATTCAATCACAAATTAGTAGAGTGACCTGGTGAGCTGCAGGGTTCCTTGCCGCCAGCAGCATCTTTCCCATGTCGATACATTCCATCACACTCTGACTCCGGGCGTCCACCTCGTTCCTCAGACTCTGGTGATAGTTCATCAGAACTTCTACAGATGACACGTCCCTGAACACCACATGGTGAAAACATAAGGACAGCATCACATACCAACAGTACCAACCAGAACCCTGTCGTGAAACCATACCCCTGGTTTGGAACTCACTCAATTCCCAGCTTGAAACATTACTTTGAAAGCCTAACACTCATTTGAAACCCCAAAACTATCTTGAAACTCTACTGGGAGGTCCGAACACTTGTTTGCAACCCTAACCCAGTCTTGAAACCCCAATTCGAACCACATTGGGTTCATAATGAATACAAACAAATACAAGTACAAGAGCTTCAAGATTAAAAAAGGCTATAAAAGGGTGCTGCATGCATACCTTGGCTTCTCCCCCGTGTTGATCTGGCAGAGGATGGAGTCCATCCACATGATCTGATCGCGAGCAAGGCCCAAGAACCTGAGCTTGTCCGTCTCAGTGGTGATCTGTAGCCGACACTCCTCGCACGAGGTGAGCAGCTCCTTCCAGCATTGCATAACTTGGTGCTCGCGGCAGGCAATGGCTTCCGCTTTCTCACCGGCATACACGGTCCTCAACTGGGCCGCGCTCTCCTGCAGCTGACGCACCTGATGGACCACAATGACGTTACAAGGCTCCCGCAGAAAAGGGACAATCTTGACCTTTTACATCAGGGGCGGCAAATATTTTATATGCCGTACCTGAGTGACCAGCAGTTGGATATCCTGCTCGAAGCCGTGCAGCAGCCTTTGCAGCGTGCTGGTGTTGGCCGTACTGCTCTGACAGATGCGCACCTCCGGTAACCTGCGGTGCTTGTCCTCAATCTGAGACAGAACCTGGAAACCATGTAAGCAAAAGTTGCTTCATGTCCAACTCATCCCATAGTGTTTTCATGTAACTTCATCAGTGCGACTTTTCTACGTTTCCTACCACCTGCGTGTCGCGACGAGCTCACCTCCCGGCAGTCGGCAAAGAACTTGTGCAGCTGGTGCGAGGCAGCCAGCATCTGTGCTCGTGTCTCTATCAACTCCAGCAGTTCAGCCCATGACTCGTTGACGGCGTCCTTCCACTCGGCGATGACGGCAGCCTCGGCATGGCCGTAATCGATAAGCTCGTCCACCATTTGATTGACAGCCGTCACGCGTTCCTGACCCACGCTGCCTGTCTCTGATGCAAACTCTGTAAATTTCTCCTGGAGCAACTAAAAAAAAGATATTTTGACATTCTTGTAGAACCTTCCATATTGAGATGAGTAGTCATTTCATCTTCAACTTTTAGCCATCATAATAATGAATCTCCAGCATCTTAAACACTAGCCAACGTAGAGTCTTTCATCGCAACTGGCCAAGGCGGTAAGCCTTTGCTTTGCCTTTTTTCCGAGCTCAGAATGTGGTAAGCTGCAATTGCTTTGTAAATGTGCACTGTCACGTTCTCTACTATTTATGGCCCTGATGCAGCTGATGCGGAATCCACAGTGTCCCAACTTACGCTGACATGCTCAAAGTCCTGTCCCAGCTCGGGCGAACTAGCCACCACTTCCCTCTGAGCGATCCATTGCTCCAGCTCATCCACCTCGCGGTTGAGCTGGTAGAGCCAGTACTGCTGCTCCAGGCGGCTCTTGCGCAGAAACAGAATACAACAGAGCATGTTTTTTTTTTTTTACACCCGAGTGTCATTGATGTAAGAAAAAGCTTTTCTATATTTGTTCCAAAAAGTCTCGTAGACCCTCTTGGTGTTGCTTCAAAATGTGGAAACAGAATACAACAGAGCATATTTTTTTTACACCTGAGTGTCATTGATGTAAGAAAAAGCTTTTCTACATTTGTTCCAAAAAGTCTCGTAGACCCTCTTGGTGTTGCTTCAAAATGTCTCTGAAGACTCAGTTCAATCAAAAATTTATTGCGGATTCTCTAGTTAGATCAAACCGTATTTAATGCCTATTCAATTGGTCTAAAAAGGCTTTGAAGAATCTCCGGCCGGTTCAGTTGGTCTTTACAGAGTCTCCAGTTGGTCCAAGTTCAAAATGTCTCTGAAGACTCAGTTAAATCAAACATTGATTGTGGATTCTCTAGTTAGACCAAACCATATTTAATGCCTATTCAAATGGTCTAAACAGTATCTTCAATTGGTCTAAAAAGGCTTTGAAGAATCTCAGGCCGATTCAGTTGGTCTTTACAGAGTCTCCAGTTGGTCCAAAAATGGACTCAACTGGTTCAAAACGTTTCTTCTCACGCTTCAGTTGATCTAATATGTCTTTGAGTTTGTCCAAAAAGTCTATAGATTGCATTGTGTGTTTGTTCGCTAACCAGTCAGGGTGTCCCATCTCCAGCAGCTGCCGACACTGCTGAGACAGCAGCCCAATGGTCTCAGCATAGTCCTCGATGGTCTGTTCCAGGACCAGGTGCTTCTTCAGCAGCTGCAAGGTACTCGGCTCGTCCTGAATGGAAGAAGATGAAGGTGATGAGGAAGGAAGACGTTTTATGGAGGCACCTCTGAAAAGAATTTTCACGCCTCAATAAATGCGACTGTTGAGCCTTTGTGGTGATTTCCAGATTATGTCAGGTTGTGCATTCCGAAAATATAGATATTTTTTTTCTCACCTTCCCTTTCTCCTCATTCATCATGTGCAGCTCCTGCTCACTGAGCCAGGCTTCCACCTCGGCCGTGTCAAAGTAGTACTGCTGCGCCTGGTACATGGCGTCCAGCACCAGCTGCCGACGTTCCGTTTCGGCCCAGAGCAGCGCCCAGAGCTGGGACAGCTGCTCGTGACCCACATGGACAGCATTTGCCTCGGGACTCCGGACCGAAGCGAAGATGGCTGCACGCTCCAAGACCTCCTCCACACGGCTAAGGTGGCCCTGGAGCTCCTTTTGGAGAGTCTGCAAGAAAACAGGGGAAGGATGCATTTGAGCAGGGGTGGGCAAACTTTTCCATTCAAGGGCCACATTTAATTTTTTTAAATGGACAGATGGGCCAGGTCATTTTAAGATGAGGTTAAAAAAAGTTATAATGTGTATTTATAATATGTGTCGCTGATGGTGTTGTGGTACACTCGCCTGACTTGTTTGCGGGCAGCGTGGGATTGGTTCCAACTCAGTGATGGTGTGAATGTGGGTGTGTATGGTTGTTTGTCTCTTTATGTGGAATGAATATGGAAGTAATACAAACAAACACAACAGGAGTTTTGATCATTTAAATACTGGTATGTGGTCTGTGAGTCGAATTTTGCCCATGACAGCATTACATGATTACAAGTGCTAAATGGAGATTCTGATGGCCCCACCTGATTCTTCTTCATGAGCTGCTGCACCGACTGCAGGGAGGAGCCATGTTCCTGACTCATGGCCAGTGGGAGGCGCTCCTGCACCCACAACTGCAACACGCAATGACATTATATGGAATTAATATGGAAGTAACACAAACAAACATATTAGGAGTTTTGATCATTTAAATACCGGTATGTGGTCTATGAGTCGAATTTTGCCCATGACAGCATTACATGATTACAAGTGCTAAATGGAGATTCTGATGGCCCCACCTGATTCTTCTTCATGAGCTGCTGCACCGACTGCAGGGAGGAGCCATGTTCCTGACTCATGGCCAGTGGGAGGCGCTCCTGCACCCACAACTGCAACACGCAATGACAAGTCAGACATTCATTTTCTCACATAAACATACAGTGACAGACTCTCTGCTTATATCACTGTATTGCACATCTTTCCACTACACTCGTATATTCTTCACATCTGCCATTCTGTGCTTATTTTCCAGGCTTTTCTGTCGCGTGCTATAGCACAGACTGAGAGCGTAATGCATGAGAGCAGAGTTGTCTTAAAAAAAGCCTAAAAGTAAAGCACAAAGTGAAGTATGCAGAGAGTGAGAAATCACCAGTGTTCTCCATAAAAGCTAGAAAACAAGTCCAGAGGGAAAAATGTAAACAGTATGATCGTTTCTTTATAGTCGGACATTGTAGACGATACTCACCATCTCATCCTCCAGGTCTCGTCCCACCTGGTGCACCTCCTTGGAGGCCAGCAGCAGTCGTCTGCGCTCCTTGAGAGGTTCGATGAGGCGCACCATGCGAGCCTCGACCGCTGCCTGCTGCTCAGCCACCGTCTCCTTGGCTCGTGTCTGTTGCGGCACAGCGGACGCCTGAGCCTGCAGCTCACCAACCTCCTGGTACCACTCCTCCATCTGGTACTCCATGTTCTGAATGTACAAGAACGGAGAAGATCAAGTAGGCGCATGGGTAGATAGGTGGGTAGGTGTGCTAGGTAGGGCAAGTAGGCGGATAAATCGGTTGGTAGTTGTGTCGCGCATGCTAGTGTGGGTAGGATAAATCACAGTACCAACCTGCAATTTTTTCAGCTGCCTGTTGACAGTGGCCAGGTCATGGCCGCAGTCCACGTAGGCCAGCTGGCCCTCCATCTGCCCCAGCCTCTGGTCCAGGCTGCGGTAGCTCTGTGCCAGCAGGTCGGCCTTGTTGGCCTGGAAGAGCTGCTGGGCCCTGGCTTGCGTGGTGCTCTCCAGGTCCAGCCAGCACTGGCGAATTTCCTCCAATTTCTGACGCACCAGCGGGCTCAGCTCAGGCTTCTCCTGGATCAAGTGCTGGCCCTCCTGCGAGACCCAAATGTTACATGTCAGCAACACAACATGCTTGTCAAGTGGGATCAGATTTTTTTTTTTCAGACAGTATGTCACCATATGTGTGAGTATATCTGTCTGTGATGGGGAGCTGCAGATGAAAAGAAGAGACCATGGTAATTGGGGGGAAGGGAGTGCAGATAATGTACCATTACATTACACACAGACACACACACCAAAGCACCTGCTCCCTCCCATCCCCCAGCCAAATGTTATTCCCTATTTGTACCCTTTTCACTAGTAGCGAATGGGTAACATCACAACTGAAAGAAATCCTAGTTTTTGAAGAAAACCATTGCATTAGAGCTCATGGATGTTCCTAATCTTATGGCCAGTTATTGGCCTGAAAAGCAGCAATAATGTAGCACTGAGACCACTGCGGTGATGTTAAATTGTTGTTTAAATGTGTCTTGTGAGTGTGGGAGGACCGCGTGGGCTGAAGCAACCACATTTGCTCACAGGCATGCACACACACACACACACACACACACACACACACACACACACACACACACACACACACACAGTAAATATGTTCTATATTCCTTGTAATGCATGCCACGAATTGTATCCTAGTAGATTCATTGCAAGAATGAGATGTTGTATAGAGCAGACAAGGAACACAGTACACAGGACCCTTTGACTCATATGGCAGGTTGCATCTTACACTAAACATCGTGATGACAAACATTCAATTCTTTACTGAAAAACACTAAGAGCCGCTTTTCTAGGTCATTCGTTGCGAGAAAGAGGAAACAAAACCAAGGCACGGAACCCAGGATTCAACGTCCTCTGACAACACATTAACAACGAGCCACCCTGCGATCACAAACATACAATTGTTTACTGGAAAACACTAGTAGTTTTATATCTCACTGATTTCTTGCGAGAAAGGGGAGACATACAGATCGAAATGCAGCCCTTAAGGTCTAACTAACATAAAAGCCACTGTCATGGCTGTCATAAACATGCAATTGTTTATCGGAAAACAACGTCAGTTGTCTTTCCGATTGATTCCTTACATGGAAGAGGAGATGATTAACAAAGAATTCGGCATACAAGACTTTCTGTCTCACATGGGAGGTGATATCACTCATACTAAATATTCACCTCCTCGTGACCACAGACATACAATTGCTGACGAGGAAATGGCACAAATGATCTATGTAGTTTATTCATTGCATTAAAAAGGGATGCACGGCGCACAGACGGAATGCAGTGAACAAGGTTGTCTGACAGAAGCTCAGACGTACAGTCAGTCTGTCACTGCGGCAGACATCTGCTAGCCTCCAAATCTGCTAGCGTATCAATATTTACTCCCGAGCGTGGGGAAACCTGACAGTCATTCATTCGACATCCTGGCTCCCCATGTGGAAGCAACATTTATGCAAAGTCAACAATCACTGCTGCCACTACGAGCAATTCTAACTAATATTACGACTGTTGCAACTATTACTGCTACTACTATACCACTACCCCTTCCACCATAACTGTTTCTATTACCACAACTATGACTACTATTACATCTTCTATGACGACTACCCCCACCACAGTGACTACTACCACGAACAGGCACTCTTACTATTACTACCACTACTAATGACTACTAACTACTACTACGACACACCACCAGCAAAAACAATCTGACTACCACACTACTACTACTAACACCACTGTCACTACTAGAATACTATTACCATCATTGAGATTACCACTACTAATATTGCAACCCCAAATACGACTACTACTACTGCTACTAGTACCACTACTAGTACTACTACGATCACCGCCACAAATACTAACTACTCTGACAACTACCATGATCGCAGCAACTATGACCATTACTATTACTACCACCACTTCCACAAATACTACAATCTACAATTAACAACTAATACAATACTAACATTTTTATTCCATTCGTCTGCAGCCCATTTGGGGTGCAATCTTGTCGGGCCTCAACAAACAGCACCCTCTGCTAGTTACTGATGATCCAAATAAGATGACTGTTTATCATCAAACTATATTCAACATAACACAGCTATTGTGCACATCCTAATGTTCAAACTGGACACCAGACTCTCAGGCCTGTCGAGGCATTACTTGTCTTCAAAGCGTCCTTTTGTGCGTCATCATTGAGGATAAAAGTAGTCCACAAGCACTCAGAGGAGACACAATCAGGACAGCAAAAAAAAAAACCTCACGACCCACGTCGACACGGCGGCCCTTTAATCAGGACGCCGTTCTCCTCAGTGTTTGAAGAGCTCTTCACGGACATGAACAATGGTTGACGCTCAAAGGAAAGAGCGTATATTTTCTATTTTCTGGCTGTCAGCATGACAACGACTTTTGATGTTGAGTCACGATTGGTGCGCTGGCCGTTCTCTCTGTGCTCCCAGCGGAGGAGTTGAGTTTCAGCCATACCCGCTCACGGAATACTGCAGGGGAAGCTTGATGCGGTGCACAAGTGAGCGCATGCGTGACCTCCTTTTCGTTTTCAGCATATGCCTCACGAGGGAGAAGTCACCTGTTTGATTCCAACAGCATTAGGATTGAGTTATGTGGAGCGGTTTGAGTGACGCTCACGTGGTGCCAAACACTCACGAAAGAAATGCTCGCTGCAATCCATCTGACATAGCATTAGCATCAGTTAGCATTAAATTATTAAAATGGTATCTCTTAATTTTGATGGTTGGTGTGTACAGTATGATGGGAGATTAGCTCAAATGGGGTTTCATGATAATATGAAAGGCAAAAAAACAATGAAAGCACAATCAGACCGATGAATACAAATAGAGGCCATTTGTAAGTTACCCCAACGACTGTGCATAATATGCTGCTTTTATATGAGGATTGCAATGCTAAGTGTGGAAGGCAATGACAAACAGTAAAACTAAAAGAAGCTGAAGTAACCCAGACTGTGCATGATACACTGCTTGGAAAAAATATATATATTTTGAAGTGATTGTGTGAAATTAGCATCTAAGATGGCAACAAAGAAAGCAAAAAGAAGAACAGCTGTTTACAGTGTGATACCAAAAAGAGCCACGCATGATATGTCGCTAGGAATGAGGAAAATGATGATACATTAATGTTGAATGAAATACACGGTGGAAAGCAGCAACCAAAACAAGAAAAGCACAAAAAGATGGTGAAAGACTTCCTGCAGTATTTTGCTGAAATAGCCCAGACTATGCATGAAACGGAAAAGAGCAGCGTGCGGCTTTCGAGCCACGGGTTGCCGACCCCCGGCCGAGACAGTGCATGATATGCTGCTTGTTTTGAATGAGGGTATTAGGATAGCATGTCATAATAAATGGACTCACCCTCTCAATCTTGTCCAGCCACTCTTTGTTCTGTGCTAGCTCTGCCATGAAGGCCTGGTGCTTGAGCCATTTCTTGTGAAGCTTCTGCATGTCATCGCAGTTTCCGTCCCTCGCCATCAGCATCTTCTCGCTCACCCAGTTGCCCAGCTGGGGGCAAAAAGAAAGAGCTTCATAATCGTAATCAATCAATCATTTAAAGTCAACAAGTTTTGATGTCCCGAAGCAATGGAGGCATCATATTACTATGGAGTCTGCTTGTTTTCCCCTGCGTGGGTTTTCTCCGGGTACTCCGGTTTCCTCCCACATTTCAAAAACATGCATGGCAGGTTAATGGAACACTCTAAATTGTCTCTAGGTGCGAATGTGCGCATGGATGGTTGTTCGTCTATGTGCGCCCTGCGATTGGCTGGCAACCGGTTCAGGGTGTCCTCTGCCTACTGCCCAAAGACAGCTGGGATAGGACACACACACACACACACACACACACACACACACACACACACACACACCCACAC